TTTGGGGGGGGGGTTCTTCTTGATTTTAACCCTTTTCTCCCATGCAGTGTGCTCGGGCAACGCTTATCCCCACAGACCAAGATACACAAGTGTGGTACATGTTATATCACACAGTCGTCGATCGGCGTCCCGTGGGGAAAAGGGATGGTGGCTTCTTACCGTTGCCAATCGGTGTCCGTGGGGGCATAGAGTTAAAAGGCATTTTCATTTTGCTTTACTTTTTTAAAGATCTCTGACGACTGGTGTCTGTGTGTAGCAGCAAGGCATTTTGCTGTTGAAAGCAAGAGGAGACTCAAATTGGATTCCTCAGGGAGGACATTTATCGAGTATCTCGGTGGTTTTGCTGATGGGATGTATTCCTCTCGTTGGTCCTTAGAGACGGAGCTGGAAACGAACCTCCTACATGATCGAAATTGTGTTGATTGGGGCGTAAAAATACCTACATTTTAAATGAAGAAAGAATAGTTCTACAAACTTACGATTCACCTTCGTTAAGAAGAATAAGTGTCAATATACTTTTTTTTTTTTTTTAATTTTCGCAATAAAACCATTCAAATGTGTGAATTCTTTTGAGACAACCTGGGACCAACCTTTTTTTTTTAGATGTCTTGAAATTAATTTTTTTTAAAATGATAAAATAATTGAAATGTGTGAATTCTCCAGGGACAAGCTGGACAAGATGGACGCCAACGACAACCACACATCCCCACCGGCCAGCAACGAGTGCTACCACGAGGACGACGATGAAGGGCTGCAGATCAAACGAGCGAGGGTGAGTGTCCGATACTTTCCTGATAAATGATTCGTTAAGTTCTCACCTTTGAAAAATGCTGATTTTATTGTGCACTTGTCGACTGTCCTGTATTTCCCAGGAAATACTATATAAAACAGACAATATCTATGAAACAAAACTGTATAAAACAGACTCTGTAACAAAACTGTATAAAACAGACATTATCTATGTAACAAAACTGTATAAAACAGACAATATCTATGTAACAAAACTGTATAAAACAGACAATATCTATGTAACAAAACTGTATAAAACAGACAATATCTATGTAACAA